TTAAAATCAGCTCACAAATTTTCTTGTGGGAGGAAATGACGCTTCTTTAATTATTCTTGTTACGTTTAAAAATTTAAACAACACGCTAGTATCGCATAAACAGTATTAAGGTATGCTTGGAGGGGGTTAGTTGTGCGCATGCTCGGGGTATGAAGACCCTTTATCAATAGTTACATATAAGCTATCATCTGGTAAATTTTTAGCCGAGAGGAAATGAGTGAATTTTTTTTTTCTTCAAGCGTGGGAGGTTACAACTGCTTATCCCCCCCACTGCGCCGCATCTGACGGTCATAGGGCTTTATGATACTGTTATCTGATGCGTATCGTCAATTATCTAACGAGAAGAAATAATTAACCAAAATTTGCACCTGGCTCTCGGGCTAATAGAGTTTGAACATTTAAAAGTTTAAACATTTTGTAGGAAAGCCAATCCAGGCCACATGAAGAATCTTTTCTTGTTTGCTAAAGCAGATTTTAACTCTTGCATAGTAAAACAACCGATCATGTATGAATAATCACTATTTACTCCAAGAACATTATCTATATAATGAGATCTAAGATTTTCGCGAGTACACATTTAAATGAAACTAATATTTTCGGATTTTACTTCGCGTTTTATTTTAAACATTATCTATACTTATCTGTTGTGAAACAGTATCCAGTGTGTATTTATATAAAAATGTTTGAACCCAATTGAAGTCAGAAAATAAGTTAGAACTCGGAAAGCTTTTTTTTAATTTTCTTATTTTAGTCCAAATGCGATTTAAAGATGTCAAAAGATTTATTGATGAGCAGAATTCAGACCAACTTTTACTTCATTCCACCAAGGTACTTGACACCTTTTTCTAGGACGGTTATTATTACTATCAGTTGTGTTATGGTTTAAGCTGGACCCGGAGAATTTGATTGCCAATAGAATAATTGCACAAAACTTTCTGTATGAGTCAAGATCACTATTGTCAACTTTAAAGTTCATTAACATTTTATTAACAACTAGTTTTTGCCCGCGACTTCGTCCGCGTTAGTTTGGTCAAGAGTAATATATGTAGGTATAGCTGACCAGGCGAACTCTATTCTCTCGTAGAGGCCATAAATAATCAGGTTTTTCCTGTTTCAATCAAACAGAATGATTGACATTTTAGTTGTCAAATCTAATGTCAAAAAAAACGTTTGTATGGACAATAGAAAAGAGCTATTTTTAGGGGTTTTCCAGCAATTATTCCAATTTTTCTCACCTTTTAAACCTTCCCTGGACTTCCAGGAGTATTTCAAGACTAAAATTAGCCAAATCGGTTCAGCCGTTCTCGAGTTTTAGCGAGACTAAGGAACAGCAATCCATTTTTATATATATAGAAGATTTGTTCATAAACATCTCAATTTACTAATTTCAGATTGCTGTGAAAAGGAATGTTGTTCAAGGAAATAGAGGGTTCACGTTGATCTCTTACGAGAGTAAATTTTTTGATAGTTGGCAGATGATAACTGCCTAAAGGGTCCTGATGAACTTGCCAGTCACAAGAAAGAATTAAAGAAGAAGACACCATAGTTAAATCTAGACTGTTTGGTTTCCAAATATGAGAGCCTATAGTTGTTGGTTGACCATTATTTAAAAGTATTAAGTCATGGTCATCCATGGAATCCATAATAGCTTTGCCCCGAGAATCTATGCGACTGCCAACCCCAAAAAGTATGATGGGCGTTAAAATCACCTGCAATTATCAACGGTTTTGGAATACTGTACAATAAACCATCGAACTTCGCCTTTTCAAAAGCAGGAAAACTATTACCAGGACTGTAAAAACTAACCAAAGAAATGTATTTATGTTTCAGTTTAATAACAATTACTTAATTTTGTAACGAATCATCATAAAAAGTATCTAGTTTAGAGAAATGTATACCATTTAAAATTAATATTGCTACGCCATTATGATCATTACCGCAGTCATTCCTAATAATGGTATAACCACGTAAATTAAATTGACTGTTAGGCTTGAGCCAAGTTTCTGAAATAAGAGCTACATGTATATTATTTTGGTATAAAAAATTTTGAAACTCAAGTCTGTTACTTAACAGACTTTGAGCATTCCACTGTACAATATTTAAGATTTGGTGGTTGAATGTGTTGATTTGCTATTTTTATCCTGGATGGTTTCTTTAATAGCTGAGCTAATAAATTGTGAACTAATACTTATATTTTGAGTTTTATTTAAAGTTATAACTTTTACTATAGATTCTGTTAATAGGGTCATTGTTTCAGAATTTGATAGTATTACTTGAATTACTTCTTGGGTATTTAATTTTTTATTAAGGGAGGGAAAATTTAATGAATCTTTTAACGTGTCAGCATATGACTTGGGTTTACTGTTGGCGATTTTCTTTTGCCTTATAGCTAAGAAAGAAAGAAAGCTTTAGCTATTTATTTTAATATTGTCACAGCTATAAAAAGTGTATATACTAAAATGTTTAAACTGTCTAAAGTACAAATCATCGACTTAATGTGCGATAGACGAATCGTTTAATTCATCGTTAGGCAGTTGGCCCGCAGACGGTGAGGAAATTACTTACTATTTTCTTGCTCATAGAAATAACAACTACCTAATTATAGTGTAACATTACAAAACAAACATTTTAATCAACGATTGTAGACAATTGACGTGCCCCACGCTTTTTTTAGTCTAGTCGGTGCATATGTTTATAATTCCCACGACTGTATCTATTTTATTATTTTTTGGTTTTTAGTACATTTATCTTAACCATTGCAATATATGTTTCACGTAAAACCGTTTAACTTAAAACGTTTTTTTTTCTCTTATCATAGACTAATATAGTCACACAAAGCTCAGCTTATGTATCGCGCATTTAAAAGTAAGTAATTTTAATCATGTAAATCATAATTATTAACAAAAAAAATCAGTTCTATTTTCATTGTAGTACTTTATGATAAACGATGTTTTTTGTTTATTACCTGGCGCATAGACAAACAAATCTGATGGTTATTATTATATTTTGTGACTATTCAAATGGTCGGGTCCGCGATCACTTTTTTTAGTTTCTGAACGCCACATTAAATCCTCCAACGACGTATTCTGTGCTCCAACGCACACTGTTTTGATAGATATGATTGAATTTGAACTTTGTGTCTGTTACTTTTTGACGTTAGGAACACACCTAATTTTCTTAGATAACAGTGAGTGCTTGTAATTTTAATATGAACTTTATAAAATAGCAATAAAGCTCAAATTGATTCTACGTTTCAGTTAGAAAACGTTTGTATATGAAAAAGAAAAGGTTTGTTTTTAGGGTTTTCCCGGCAATTATTCGATTTTTTCTCGTCGTAAGAACCATCCTTGGACTTCAACGAACATTTAAAAAAAAGAATTGGCCAAATTGGTCCAGGCATTGTTGAGTTATGCGCTTACCAAAACATTTTGCGATTCATTTTTATATTATAGATAAATAACGTGAAGCTTAGAATTGTGAAGAAGACAAATATTTAAATCATTATAAACTAGTAAACCTGGCGAACTCCGTTTCGCCACCAGAAGTTTTTTATATAACATTTCGTTTTGTCATTAAAAGATGAAGAATTTTTTTTGTTTTATATTTGAAAAGGAAAATTTTTATTTCATTTCACAAGAGTAATGAATTCATTTCGATTACAAAAATGAAGTGTTATTTAGTTGAACTTCTCTAAGTAAATGAAAGTGAATCCAAAGTAGATACCGTATCGAAGCGTTATACGTGTCCGCAAATTATCCGTTTCATTGAAGTGCTCCTTTGTAAACCACATTTTTTGTTTTTTGGTCTAACTTTAACACCAATAAAACGTATAGTTTCCAAACTCGTGAACATGCAAAATATAACTGCCCATGTGAAAAACAATGATTTTCTAAATTTATCCCGCAAATACTAAATGGTTTTAAGAGTTCAAACTACAAACACACCGGTTTGTCACATGAAATTAACTGAGAAGAAAACAATGAGTAGCTGTCAAACAATGTATCATGTGACGGCACCATCTACATAAAAAATTGATTTGTAGTACATGTTATGTTTGATGGCGCTGTATGTGACAAAAGATTTTCCCCCTTTTCTTGGTTCTTTCGTTCTCAAGTTATAGCGTCAGGATGGAAAACCAGACTTATTTACCTATATATAGAAGATTTCTTAAAAATTTCAAATTGTCATCCATACGTCATTACATATCTGTCATTATACGTCAATTGCATAGCTGTCAATTGTGTTTCATTATTCCACGTTTTATAGTGACTGACGTTTCATGTCAAGTCCTACGGGAATGCTGTCGAACGGGATAAAAAGTATCCTATTGCAATTTCCTGGTTCTAAACTACCTCCCTGCCAATTTTCAGCTAAATCGGTTCAGCCGTTCTTGAGTTATAAGTGGAGTAACTAACACGACTTTCTTTTATATATATAGATAATTATTGTTAACAGTACATTCAAATATTTCTTTTATCGCTGAAATAATAGAATCATTTTCAGGACGACAGATTTTATCCTCAATTATGGGTTTCAGAAACGAAGTGTAACTATGACTTTGGACATCGAATATAAAACCACGAAGAAGCGGGATCGATGAGCACTTTTGACATGTCATTCGTAATGACATATTCAAGGTCTACACAAAAATCCAGGTTTGTGGGAATTAATGCAAAATGGAATTATAGTTAAGTTTATTTTGACTGGACTATTTAGTATATAACAAAGTGTATTTGTGTTTTATAGATATATATTGTTTTATACATATATATTTAAGAATTAAAGCCGAACTAAGTAGGTACATTAAAAAATAAAAATCGAGTGACACAGATTACAATTATTTAATGCAATAACAATATTCGTAATTAAAAAAAAACAGCCATTAGTCATATAACGTTAATAAATAGAATGTGAGTACTCTTAAATATATTATAAAAAATATCTGTACAAAACAGCCGTCAAACAAATCTGTCTTCATGTTCATATTTCATAATAGATATCTAATGAATGCAACCTGTTTCTCTAATGAGCCCCCTCCAGCGACCCGCGCCTGCGCAGCGCAGACACATCGGTGCTCCGGCAGTGGAGTTCTCACACTTGGCCTGGACGCATGTATCTCTCATGCCCGCTAGTTGTACTGTGCAGAAATCTCACGACATCGCTTATCATATACGCTTTTTAACCTATTGCTGTATTTAAATTATACATTATCGCACGCACTCCTAGCTCTATTTTCAAAGTGTTCTTCAAAGCTTCTCTGGTGACCCCGAAGTTATCATCAGGGTTAAAGAAAATCAAGATGGCGGAATACATCGCGTAGTGGATGAACAATTGCAATAATAGCAAGTAATCGATGACGTTGAGCTTTTCAGACAGAATAATTACCAATAAAATCTGAAATAGAAGGAAAAAAGTAACTTCTGAGTGTATTTTATATGTATCAATTATCATGTAAAGGATGGTATATCGGTAAAAAAATTAAGAAGTCTACAGGCATACCGATCAGAATGGCCATCAAGAGAGTTTGTAAGGAATGGGAGCGTACATGTCTGTCGTGTCAACGGCCTACGATCCACAGACATACATCGTCACCTTTAGACAGAACATTACGGCTGTAACTGTAGCCACAGCTCTCCTCAGCAGAAGGAAAACTAGCTCTTGTGATCCAGGGCTGGATGCAATCGGATTCCCAGCCCCCGTCAGTCAGGCGAGGTGGGAGCGTCACTGGGTTCTTTTGGTGGGTATACCGGGAACCTATTTCACACATACCCCTCTCCATCCCCCGACGGAAAGGGGATGCGTAAGGCATTATTTCCTAGTGCGTCAGAAAAAAAGGTCTTGTTATCCAAGGCACGGCGTGACTGATCACGGGAGATGCTACTACGGTTTGGGCGTAGGTGATGTAACATGCCAGGCTCAGAGCAGGAGTAGGTACGGGGGGTTTTTAGTCAGTAAGAGTCTGACACTCTCTCTTGCCCTACCCAGGCAAGAGGGGTCATTTGATGATTTTCCCCTTAAAAAAAAAAGGTGATGTAACATTGTACTTGTGTTTTATACATATGTATGTAAACCATCATAGCCTGAGCTGTCTCCTTTTGACTGCACACAAGTTTTATATCAATTATATTCATTTTCTTTATTTTTGTAATGTTGTTTTTATATCCTTTTTTGTATAATTTTGTTTTTTTCCTTTGTGTGTATGTGAATAAATGTCTTTTCTTTCTTTTTCTTTTCTTTCATTCAAATTACATAACATCTTAATACCTTATCGTACAAAATCATTGTTTAGATCTTAATTTTTAAACAGATTATTTGTTGATTGAGTAACTTCAAGTCTTTAGACATTATGTAATAGTACATATAAAACAAAAATGACGAAAATAAAACATATTTGTTGTAAATTTTAAGGGTACATCTTAAAACCCACCTGGAGGGTCCAATATATATTTTCTCGTTATTACGCTCCGATCCTTTACTTTGATATTTTTTATAATAAGTATCGTTGATGCTGGCGCCACAAAGACGTATCTAACGAGCTACAACATATTGAGGTAAGATAAAAAGATACAGTGGAAGTCGTCCACATACAGACCGATATTCTCCTTTTTTGTTTCGTAGCAGTAAGGGCTTGAAAATTACAGAAGTACTTCATATTCAAAATAATTTTAACACGTCCACACACACACACACACACACACACACACGCACACCCACACACACACACCCATACAAATAAGCCCTCTTATTAAGTTGAGTGTTATAATTCATTTTCGTCCTTACTTAACGTCTGATAAAGATGATCAAATAAAATTAAATGAATAATGAATATGTCCTAGTACACATGTTACGTAAAGAAAGAATAAACAGAATACAATCATGAAGGAAATATAACTAAACAGAAGGCCTGCAATTGTTATTTGAAATTTGAAAATATCAGAACGATGTAATATGTCATAGAAAAATTAGCTCAGACAAAGTCACATGTTAAACGTAGTAGGTCTAACTACCAGTAGACAGTAGTGTAATAAAGGAAGCTCATATATCTATATACAGACAAAAGATTGATAAAGTAGATTGTATCAATATGATGTATTGTATCGACGTTACATGTTATCTGAATGAGACATGGTTCTGCTTGATTGATTTTTGTTATATAATAAATAAATAGTTGTTTTCTACCTACATTTTGTTGGACCTATTTTTGCTATGTATGGTTTTTCACATAGTTTGTTGGTTGATCTTATACTTATATTACTGATATATATGATTGGATACAAGAACAGATATGATGGACCTGAGTTCTTATTTTAAATTGATTAATGATGTTTAATAAATTATTGTATATATACCTCTTTAAATAGCTTGTCAGGTTCATCATTTAATATTTATTAACACAAAAAACAAAGAGATACAGTTTTGGAATAAGATCAATAAACAGAAATAACAAGCACATTACCATTGAATTATTGATAAAATCTCACCTCGCACCCGACGAGCTCACTTGATGATGGATTCTTTCACCTGGATATTTTCCATTCGAAGAAACAATATAGTTAACAATAATAAATGCTCGGAACTGTACAGTATGCAATTATATGTATCGCTGAATAAATTGCACAAACTAATGGTTTTTGTTTCGTTTTCCGATGTTGCACAATTATTTCTGAATAACTATTAAAACACAATTATTAAAATATGAAATGGATAAAACTATGGAAAATACCGACGGCTATACATATAGAAGTCTTAACAATATTTATCCATCCATGTATATAATGAGTGTTAAAGTGACTGTTTTGTTTCAAATAATTAATTATAAATAAAGTGACTGTTAAATTATTAAGAAGAGTTTAGGTCAATCATGTGTCGAGTAGACAGAATAAATATGAGTTGTTTAGTAACATATGTATGTAACTTTCATTGTAGGTATCTACTCTTCTGATAAGTGACGGGCTGGCTATACGCTAAGTAGAAGCGTTATCAGTGACCGTTCATACGGTTTTTTCATTTTATTCAACTGTGGTTAGTATAACTCTTTGAGTTAACTATCTCTTATGTTTACAACACGTCAGTCAGAGCGTCACTCCTCACGCCGACAGTTTCTATCTAATGGTCGTCATTTTGTCACGTTTCCTTCAGTCGCTTCTTATTCTTAATATGATCATAAATTATTCCCGAGTCTCTGTAAGCCTCATGTCTATCTTTTTGTTGGGAGCAGTTTTTATGACAGATCCTTGAACCTTTATTATGAAGACTGAACTTTGTTTGTCAGTTGTAAGACAGTGAAAGTGAAATTGAGTGTTGGACGAAAAAGAGAATTCAATAAAGGAAGTTTCAAATACAATGGTGTGAAAACCTGATTAAAACATTATTACTGAGTTCACAAAACCATTACTTATAATAAGTTTAAGACTGCAAACTCAGGTTCAGAAGTGAGGCAGGCTTATATGTATTTTATGTGTACCTTTTATTCTTTAATTCAAATCTAAATAATGTTGTTTCAAAATACGCCTCTTTAACATCATATGTGTCATTTATTTTTAATATAGCCTATTGTTAATATTACATTTTTTTTTAATCATGAATACATCGTGATAAAGATCTTTTATAACATTTTTATAAATGTTTCTGCCGATAAGTTATTCACGAATTTCTTTAGTACAACACTTTTTCGTGGAGAAAATAGTGTTATTTTATGAAGTAGACTATAGAGAGTTAATAATAAATAATAGTTATACCTTAGTCGTTCTTACATTTCGACTATTCTAAAAACTCCCAAAGCACTTCATCTTATTACCGACCGTCGTCTTTTCTCTTTTTATTCAAGCTAATATTTTACAAACCCGTGTCCGAGAGACTAAAAAACATTATCAATCATAGCTCGTATAAAAGAGGATTTGAAAAAAGGGTTGACTGAAGTTAAGAACACGCCAGTGTTGGTTATAAGGTAAATGGAACATTCAAATACACGCTCACAATATAATACAGATATGACAATAAGGTTCTGTAAAATATAGGTAGAAAGGTTTGTTTATAGGATTTTCATATTTTATAGTTTATTTATATTTACGTTACCGTATCTTTCATTGCATTTTTCATAATGCAAATAAAAACTGGATAACAAATGAACGTTCAGTTTTCAATATACAATAAATGATATTTCTATTCCCTGAAAAACTAAACAACTATATCACAATAAAATAATAATGAATTACGTAGGTATATTAAATTAGTCACTTGTCAATATGTCAGTGACAATTTTTAAAGTGTTAGTGTCGCTTCTTACTAGCATTGACCCTCTTCTGTAATCAATGAAGACTCTTCAAGATGATTGTGTCACATTTACATTAAGTTTCCTTAATTTTTCAAACGAAAATTAAACGGACTATCAAGTTATATGCTGAGACTATTCTCACGAGTAATACTTTATTTATTGAAACAAGTTATATATTTTAAGTTATTAGTTAATTAATTCTATAAATTAATAAAAATATTTGAAATAGCACTTAAATAACAAACATAGTAAAGATCTTTAGAATGGAATTTGTGAATTTCACTCTCTGTTGCTGGTCGATTTTAAGGAATGTGAATTGCGTAAATACTTCAAATTTAAGGACTTTGAATAATATTTGGAAATTACTACCATATTTGTAATTAATGATCTTCTGATCGGTCCAGGGCTTGAAGTGGTGTAACAATAGATAAAACGGAATATTATAATTTATTGACTTTTTTCTCTCAGTTGGCATCCTTTTTATTCATTTATATATTTGCATAATGTGAGTTGTGGTGATGTTAATATAGATTTTTTATTTGTTACTTTATTGTCGAACTTATATAAAAAATTGAATAAACGAAGTTATCTGAATATTAATGTATGTATAATTTATGTTTCGATAAGACAGATCGATTGTTTGGCAGTAGTGAACAGTGCTGTACATAAAGTTTGAAGAGAGTAGTTATTCTGTGTCGCACTAAATATATATTTTTAAATTAATGAATTAAATACGTATATTTAATTATAACAAAAAAGTAAAACTATAAAATATTTTGTTGGAAGACGATTGTAAACATTACAGTTTTAGGAATATATTATAACAGTTTATTCTGAGAATATCATTTTAAAATCCTAAGTGAAGAAGTATTTTTTTTTTCTAATAACATTTTTGAGATTGTTTTTAAAGCAACGTTCTAACATGAAACAAACAAAACTACTCGGAGAATATACACATATAAAAAAATATTAGTTTCCAAAAATTACAGATATTGATTTTGCTAGAAAATTGTAATTGTTATTAAGAGAATAAAGTGAC